CATAGCGTTCAGTATATTTTTTACCGAATCGACTGTACTTTATTTTCAGAATAAATCGTAAACATTTTAATTTTTATTGAATAATTAACTGGTAAGAACAAATTCACCAAACCAAAAGATTCATTCCTTTTAACCATATATTTCTGAAGAGGCATTTTCATCTTTCGTTTGTACATAAAATAAAAAAAATCATTTAAGAACCCGGACTCGATCGATTCAGTAGCAAACCGTGCTAAAATCGAGGCTAAAATGCAGTTTTTGCGGTAGATGAGGACATTGAGTTCATCACGTCTGAAAAAATTGGCCTAGAAATAATACTAATTATATTTTCGGCATAAATTGCCCGGAATCTAGCTAAAAGTAAAGTACTTACGTTTCACAACGTAGAACCGAAAGACACGCAACATCGAAATGGCAGCCAATATTGAGTTTGACAGCACGAAAATCTGTTCAGTAACTTTTACAGAATTCGGTACTTTATTGCTGTTTCTGTTTGTAAAAGATTATTTTTACAGTACATTCGTCAAAATTTTTACAGAATTGCTGAATCGCAGCCTTTTACAGTTTCGATCTGCAAATTTTATTTACAGTTTTCGGTAAATGTATGTAAATTACGTAAATTCAGCAGTTCTGATTGCGGAAAATTGGTAAAATAATATTTTTTACAAAGGATTCGGTAAAAATTACATTTTACCGAACAAATCCAGCAAAAAAGTACCGAACAAGATTTAAGAAAATTGGTGTGTAGTGCCAACCACAGTGTACTCTACAGATGGCAGTAATGTTTTAGCGACGATTGTTTACAGTGAGAAATATTCAATGTGTTATGTCTGAATGTCTGTGATGCTTTTTTCTCAATTTCGCAACAAACATATTTTTTTGAGTTTTTAGTAATGTATGATGATAGCACAGACAAACATACATAACACTCGCAAGTTGTTCATCAAACAAGCATTTAACGGTCTATTTAAAAGTATCGTAGTTAGTAGTATCGCCTCCTGTGGCGCGCATAGTCAATTCCCTTGCGTTTGACGTTTACACACTACCGCCATCTGCACGCAGAAAAATTGATTTCTGTTTCAGAGCCTAATGTATTTTGTTATTGATTCAAACATATTGTATCACTATTTAAACAAAACATATTTTTGAATCAACAAAATGGTTTTTAGAATCAACACACAGATTATTTTTCTTTGAATTTACCGAATAATATATTTGAATCAATACCAAAAATATATTAGGCCCTGAGCCAAAAATATATCCATTTGAATTTAAAAATCATTTCTCTTTTATTCATGTTACGCTTTACTGCCCACCACAGTGAGAAATATTCAATGTGTTATGACTGTTTGTCTCAGATGATAGATTATCAAGCTTACTAATCTAGATTATCAAGCTGATTTTAATCTAGAAAATGCAAAGTCGTGAAATAGGATTAATTTTTAGGTCATCAAAATTCGGAAGCGATTTTTTCGATATGGTGATGTTGTAATTCCGCCTTTTTCAAATGTTAGTCTAGAAATATCGCTCAGGACGGAATCCACCCACGTTACTTTGACAACACTGTCGAAATCATATGAAATTACACACTGCATTAGTTTTCGTGAGATTCTGCTTGGCGAGCTCAATTTAAACACTGAAAACGAAACTAGCACAGAGAACAGACGTTGAGGCTCGAACTAAATGTCTGTAAAAACTTGTGTAAAGATTCCTATTCGACTTAAGGGCCACCAACGCCAACTTTCCCACTTGAAAACCCTCTTTGACATTTGAGCATCTCCTGATTTCCTCAATAAATTTTCCACTTTCGACCAATTTGGCACTAGTATCGATAAATTTTCTGTTAAAAATTGCCACTTGGCGCTACCAGCACTTAGTGTCTAGTGTAAATTGTGCAACGCCAGCGCTATCAGGTTGTCAAAGAGGGTTTTTGAGTGGGGAAGTCGGCGTTAGTGGCGCTTAAGTCGAATAGGTATCTTTACACAAGTTTTTACTGAAATTTAGTTCGAGTCTCAACGTCTGTTCTCTGTGACGTTCACACTTATCTTTACACAAGTTTCTGGTGGAAGTTGGGACGTCTGTTCTCTGTGCAGAGAGTGAGTCACTTTTACCGAAGACAACATATGTTGTCTTCGCCTTTACCCAATTATGAGTAGCTGGTGGTAACTGTTAATCATTCGTATGGAGAAATTCCAAAAAGCGTAGGTCACTCAGGCTATTCTATTTAACGAATTTTCACTTAAATTTGATACTTGGATCGTCCAGATACTGTTGTTGGATCGTCCGGTTTTCGAGAAGATTTTTGTCAAAATTGATTACTGCTCTATCAGTAATAAGACTGGTACAATAGCAATTTTAGCGTTAGCGTTAGCGTTGTTATGATATACTTCGTAGATTGGATACTAGCGACACTCACGTCTCTTCTGAAATTCTCAGTTAGACTACTTTCAGGAATAATGCTGAGGAGTAAACATTGGTTCCAATCTAAACAAGAGTAACAGAAGCATGACTGTCGCTATTCCCGGCCACGCCCATCTTTACCATAACTAGGGATAGGGAAGGAAATGTTGATGTAGTACTTACTTAACGAGAGGCCACCGACTTAGCGACACCCTCATAAGTGCTACGGAGTTGGAGGGTTGGGTAGGGTATTCGGTTAGGATTCACCTCAAGTTGGCGATGCAACCAAAAGTATGTATTGTTTATTTGTTGTTTATTTAATCTCTCGATAGCCGGCTATCGAAAGAACATATTAATTTTGTTTAGTGATAATGAATTTTAAGAGTCATGACGGAGAGCTTGGGATTAAACCCATGATTTTCTGCTCAGTAAGCAAAAACGATCCCTCCAGGGTCATCGAGCATCTCAGAACCATAACGCTTCGCGACAATACAGGACTACGTTTTCGCTTGATATGCAAATAGTTTCCGAGGTTAATGTTCAATATCAAATATACAAATGGTGGACGATTTATTGTGCTGTGGAAGAGCTTGGGGTTAAATCCATGATTTTCTGCTCAGTAAGCAAAATCGATCCCTCGAGGGTCATCGAGCATCTTATAATCCACAGCGCTTCGCGTCAAAGTACGAATATATGCATGAACTATCTATTATTGAATAACTAATATTTACGATAATTAAATGAAATAAATAAAATATAAACTACAAACAAAACGTGACTGCTAAAATCTCAAAAAGATATTCTCACAAATATATTTCACGCCACCAGGAATCTCAAAACCATTAGACGTTATAATGATACTCTGCACATGTTAGACACAAGAAGAGGCCAAAAAGCAAGCGTCCGACACACAAAACCCGTAAAATCCACTTGCAGTCACAATCAACGATTCTACGAATCGTAAGCGCTCACGAATCATAAAACCGCTGACTGCGACACTCTGAAAGCGAAATTGACAGGCTCTATGCGTCAAACACCCGCCCTCCAATCTTCTCCCGCATCCAACAGCACAAATCTCCATTACAACATCTAACGAATTCAAAACTCCGAAAATCACTCATCTATAGCAAGTGAGTGGAAGCAACCCTGCATGCAACCATTCTTCATGATACACTTTTTCTGCCTATCTTTCTATTAGGCCTGTGGACATGCGTTAGCTTCGAAACTTCTAACCAAACTGGGTAAATTTTCAGATCACAAAAAAAAACTTGAAAAAAACTTTCATAGACAAGTAAAATAAATATTGATTATTTTACGCAAAAACGAGCAAGTAATATTAAATCTTTTGTATCGTATACTAATGCCAATTGGCTGTAACAAAAATAATATGCTAAAATAACATAAAATTTGCATGCAAAATTTACTAGAAGATCATTACTTTATTGGTGAGAAGTTTCTAATAAGCCCTCCCAGTTCCTCTGTATACAGAACAAATCTGATACTATAATCAGAATTGCTCAGTCTGCATGAAGCAGCCGATTTCATCAAGGAAGTTCTATTAACAACCAAGAATTAATCGTTTGAGGTATACTGAAGCATTAAGAAGGTGATATGTGTCACTATAGGAAATCATCATCGTTGCAAATGTAAAGAAATTAAACATAACACTTTGCTTCAGTACCGTCAACCTCCATGTCCATGGGGAGGGAAAGACTGGTACAATAGCAATTTTGACTATAAAGTATGCATATTCGGGAAAAACGGGACTACCCCTAAAATGTGTGTATTTTTAACACCTTTCATGAGTATCTGTTACTCATAAATGATTTTTTTTTCATTTTTGTACTAGCAATTACTCATAAAAGCGTAAAATTTTAGTCATTTTTATTGATAGTCCCGTTTTCCTTAAAAAATGCGTACTTTAATAGTCATAAAATAGTTTTATGCGGTTACCGTGAACTGGAACACAGCCTCAGAGCATGAGTAACCTACACATTTAGATATTTATCCATACGAATGAGTAAAAAAAAAAACTCAATCCGAGTAAGATTCGTTTTCGGTGCAGTGAATGTTCAACGGTGGTCAAAACTGAAACTAACCGTAAAACTATCCATGACACCAACCTCACTGAAAGCTGTTGTTGGTAGATGTCGCTAGCAGACAACGAAATGATTCTTAACTAACACCACATAAATAAGGCAGGTGTATTGGAAGTAAACGAAACCATGAGGAGGAATCTCGAATAAAACAAGACATGTGTGTGATAGGTAATAAACGAATACGAAACTCAACGCAATTGAATGACAAATAATGCACGGGGGTCAGAGACAGCAGAAAGTTTCTCAACTAATAAAATTCTACAGCATTACATAATTATACATTACATTGTATTGTTTTTTTTTAAACTTGAAAAATAACATATTTCGATGTTTTACTTGACCAATGTACAAAGTAGGTTGTTCATTCGGATGTGTGAATGATAAAATTAATAACTTAAAAACTAACGCTTTAAAATAGGGATCGGTAGGGGTAAATAAAAAACAAAAAAGAGAAAAAGTTAGCTAACTATCTAACGAATAATATAGAACAAATCAATTTACCAAGCGCTGGAAGGGTTGTCCTTTGCCAAGTTGAGCTCCGCCCCTTGTCGAGGTTATTATCAGTTGCTGCTGCTGTTGCTGTTGTTGTACTTGTGATGTAGGCTGTATCGTCAGTCCGGAGCGCCCATTCAGATTCAATGTCTGCACGGTCGTAATTTTCGGCGTGGTGATATGCTGGGCTGTCAGCTTGCTATTGATCACAGTCGATGGCTTGGATGCAAGCGCGTTGCTCGGTAGGTTGAACTGGCTCTGCGTGCAGTGGTTCATGTGCGTAGCCCAGTGCTGCTGTTGGCAAGGATAATCACAGTAGGATGTATTCCAACAGCAGTAGAACAACGCTTCCTTGCCACAATTGACGCACCACTGTTTCTTCTTTGCTTCCTCGACCGAACGAATCCGTTCGATCTCGCATTGCTTGCGGACTTCGTTTATGATACGCGTTTTCTCCAGTTCCATATTTTTGCGCATCTCACACAACACCATGTCGGAATTGTGCTTCAGTTTGGTAATTTCCTGCTGATGGCAGTGCTTGAGTTTCTCTATTTCCAGTTCCAACACTTTGACTTTTGCCTCCAGGGCGCCACTGTTGTTGGAAAGATCGGCAAGCGTATCTTCGATCACAGATCGGAAGAAATCTGCCATCTTAAAATGAAAGGAGATTAGTTATGATTTGGATGCCTAGACTTGTACTATACATACCTTGTAGGAATTATTTATTAGTATTTGTGAAACTGGTCCAGCTCCAGATGGATATACACAATCTCCTTCCGAACGTAGTGTACCGCTCGGTCGCGATTGTAATTTGGGTGGGGTGGATACAATGGTTTCGGTAACCGCAGCCGCAAGGCTAGGTGTAATGAAACCAGACATCATATGCTCCCCTTCGACAGATCTAGTCGCATCAGAAGATGAACCCGGGGCCGATGCAGTTGCATTCCCAGCATTCGCCTGACCCGAGGTTGTTGCTTGTTGAGTTGGATTATTAACGGTGGGCGACATTGGTGATTCATTACTACTAGTAGCTGTTGCAGATGGTTGCTGTTGACGAGGCTGCGGTGGCACCGTACCGTTGGATTGGGCAATTCGTCCTGCTTGATCGTTTGCCATCGGAAGCGGACTAGGAATGTGAACCATATGCATCATATTACCTGTACTTCTACCAGCTTGGAAATTATTGCTCCCTAGACCAGGCAGCGAGCCAGGAAGTCCACCTCCTGCTACAGCGATAGATCTTTTTAGAGTCGGAACATTTTGTATAGCTGCAGACTGATTTGGGCCTGGCTTACGAGCTTTTGCTTGGATAACTACTGGCGGTTTAGGCATAAACATTTGCGTTACCTTCGCTTTATCCACCGGCGTGAGAACCACAGGTTGCCCATTGTTATTTAACACCGTACTTGCTCTGGTCGCAACGTTACTAGTGAGTTTGTTGATATCCTTAACCATTATCCGATTGCTAGTACGTATGACAACTTGATTTTCGCTTTCAGTTGGCTGATTAGACGACTGAGGTGTGTTTGAAACGATGAGCTGAGTATTTGTCGAAGGACTTTCATCATCGGATACAGGCTCTGATTTAATCGGCAGTAATGGTAGAGATGTACTTGATAGTGTACTATCAATAGCAACTGAATTGTTGCTAGTATTTAGGTCCGCCGAAGGTCCAGCAGAACTTTCTTTAGTGACAGATGCAAGTGCAGGAGGTGGTTCTTCCTCAGTCGGTTCAGTTTTGATCTCATCTGCCGCCAATGGAATCAAGGGCAATATATTAAATTTGTTTGTGCCGGATGTCTCACCCTGCCGACCATCATCGGCTTTTGAACCTACTTCTTTCTCCTGCACAATGTCTTCAGTTGCAGCCGCAGTAGGTTGTTTTGGTACCTCTTGATCTGACTTTGTGGCAAGCGCACTCGTCGTTTCCGTTGCAGGTACTTGGTTTTTAACCGTAGACTCTTGAACAGTTTCAATTTTCTCCGACTCGGACTCGGATGATTTTGAAGCTGACTTTGATTTCTTGCCTGCAGGTACAGTTTTCCAGCTGTCAGATTCTCTTTGTAGCACTACCGATTCAATTTTATTTTGCTTAGGTTCTTTTACCATGTGCGGAGCAGGACTGCTAGGTTTACGTTTTTTACTGATGTAACACCGTAGTCCAGCAGGATGCACGGGTTCAGAAGCATTCGAACTAGTATCATCGTCTTTAACTTTACTTGCTGTGCTGGTCCGGAGACGACTGATTCTTTTGCTGGGTTCGCGTAGCGCATCCGGTATCGCTTCTTTTGATTTTACATCATCACTTATGCTGCTTTTGCGTTTCCTCGTGGCGTAAATTCGCGTAGGATTCGCCACAGGATCGGGTGTAGATATTGAATTACGAATTTCATCTTTTATCTGGATTGACTCTAAACGTATTTTCGGTGATTCCTCAGTTGACTTATCCTTGGGGCTTCCGAATATCTCCCTGATTTTATCCGGTGATACGCTATCTCTTTGTTTACCCTTAGGTGTGGATGTAATTGGAGGACTGAGCGAAATAGGCGAAACCGAGAGGAAGTTATCGGCCGTCTTGATGATCTTGAGCATCAATTTGGCTTTCTGAGAATCCCCGTTTTCTGCCAGTTTCTTCAATACACCCGGTATCATCGCTTCTAGGTGTTCATCGAGCTTACCCGGTTCGATCTGTGTTCGAAACTCAGCGTAGCTGAAGTTTCCAAACTTTTTCTTCAGCTTTGCAATGTACGTTTCAGCTTCGCGCATACATTCTGCCATGTTCGTACGGCGCTGCAACTTTGTGTTTGGGTCTTTATCACAGAACAGAAAACATTCCTTGATGGGTACCCAAGCGCGGTCGTGGTCCCCAAAGAAGCGAACGTCAGCCAACTGGTTGACATTTACGGACATCAGTTTTGCTGGCCAAAACGGGAAACCTTTCAGCTTAGCCCACACCAACAAATGGGGCTTACTGCACACTTCGGTGAACCAAGTTTTACTGGTATTGGCATTGAAGTAACACTCGTTGCAGGCTTCTATTTCGTTGATTTCCTGTTTGCAGATTTTCATCAATCCCTTCGCGATCGCAAGTAGTTTATTGTTCACTGAAAATTAAAGAACAAGGTCAATAAAAGATATACACTACTACTTTAAAAGTACACACCTGGATAAATGGTAGCGTTGTGGACTATCCAACTGATATCCGCTTGAAATGCTTCAGTAGAGTTGTACTTTTGATCGGTGACGTTATTCTGTAACGTTGTGAGATCGATGTGGTTTGTTACGAAATGATCATAATTTGGAAACTGCTCCTTATCTAGCGGGTTCAGAATGGAGCTCTGCAACGGAACAAAAAAAAACATAATCATATATATATTATTGCTTTCTTACGTACGCAATGACATCTGGCGGATTACATACGCAATCGGATTGTGTGTTGTGCGATGGTATGCGTTCCTCATGAATGTGCGAAAGTGAGGGAAGCAAACGGATCATTCTTCGTGTATCGTTTTGGATGCATATGTTGCACCAACACTGACAAGTCAGACATTTTTCGAAACCTGCTGCGTGTGTGTGTGTGTGTGTGTGTGTATGTTTGTCGCTGCTGAGAGGAACAATGTTTTTCGCTGCACTATAGGTTTCCAATAAATTGGGTTGAAATATAAAAATAACCTAATGAATTTCCTTATCTGCGTTTAACTAAGAAACTTTAGCGATTCACTACTAACATTATTGGACAGCAATTTTGAATAAAACCCGTCTGTCAATGGACTTTGAACGAGGAAGAACGCTTATTCTATATAATTCTTAAACAATGCATTCGAAATGAATCAACATTAAAATCTAGCGTCATTTAACTAAGGCTGTGTTCCATTTGATGAATTTTCACTTAAATTTGACAGATGGAAAATTATAAAATAAATCTGCTATAGAGATTAGTGACGTTTAACGCACGCACACTAGCGGGGGCAACGCCGTGTAAAGTTGTTTATTATTTTCCTCTGGCTAACCTAAAAAATGTATGAAACTAGATCTGTCAAAATGAGTTTGACATCGATTTGTTATGTATTTTCCTCGGATATTCATTAACACGCTCTCACATATCGCACCAATACAATCGGACGTGAAAATCTCTATTCTAGCAGACGTATTTCTGATAGACAAGGAATCAATTTTGACACCTTTTCAAGAATTGGATGATCAACAACAGATGGATTTTCGAACATAATAATTTATTTAAAAGTGTCAAATTTAAGTGAAAATTCTCCAAATGAAACACAGCCTAAACGTCATATGAATCGATTAGGACTTCTCTTCCTAGATATTCCCTCTTTCGAATTTATTCCAAGCTAATGTCATGCTTTTGGGTACAGTGCTTTCCCGATTGATGCTGATTTTGCTGAACTTTTCGGATTTTAAGCATGAATTTTCAAGCATTTCGCTCCAAATGACACTTAATTGTTTTGTCCTCCTGATAACGGTAACTAGGTGGCAGATAGAGCTGCGATGGCTGCAATACAAGTTATGGGCAGATACCCCATTCAAGAAGATGATTTCGTGATCGTCAAAATTAACGGAATCTTTATATGCAGTTGCTACGCACCCTCCAGATGGACGATGGAGCAGTTCCACGAGATGCTGGAAGGACTTACAGAAGAGCTGATCGGACGAAGACCGGTAGTCATCGGAGGAGACTTCAATGCTTGGGCAGTGGATTGGGGGGTAAGCAGATGTACCAACGCAAAAGGACACAGTCTGCTGGTAGCACAAGCAAAGATGGAAGTTGTAAGGCTGTCCAACGAATGCACCAGCAGCACTTTTCGCAGAGATGGTTGTGGCAGACATTAATTGGAGATACACTGGAGTCGCTTTTTACGCGGGTGATACGTCCCGCGTAAAAAAAAACCGCGTAAATTCCGGAATCCGCGTAAAAAAAAACCGCGTAAATTCCGAAATCCGCGTAAAAGAAAACCGCGTAAAAAAAGAGCGTGTAGAAAAAAACCGCGTAAAAAGCGACTCTAGTGTATAATGATAAACCGCGTGAATTCTGATATCCGCGTAAAAAAAAACCAAAATCCGCGAAAAAAAAAACCGCGTAAATTCCGGAATCCACGTAAAAAAAACCACGTAAATTCCGAAATCCGCGTAAAAAAAAACCGCGTAAAAAGCGACTCCAGTATATACCCATAGCGACCATCAGGCAACCTGATATGGCATCGGCCAGCGGAATCGTGTAACAGTACGGTGGACGATAACTGGTGACCGAAAGTGGAAGACGAGTTGACAGAAACGTTAGTGAGAGCATGTGGCACGAGCATGGTGAGGAAACTGGAGCCAAATAGCAGATGGCGTCCAGCTTACTGGTGGAATGAGACAATTAGTACCCTCCGTGCTAGTTGTCTCAGAGCCAGAAGACGTGTTCAAAGAGCAAGAACAGAAGCAGACAGACAGGAACGTAGAGGAATGTTCCGAGTGGCCAGGGCCGCACATAAACGAGAGATAAAGCAGAGCAAGTCAAACTGTTTCAAAGAAGATCATAGGTCAAACGATGCCCGCTGAAATGTGCTCAGAGAACCTGAAAGTCATCGAGGAAGGACTTCTCCCGAAGCACGATCAAACGACCTGGCCACCTACACCGTACGGAGACGGAAAGGGAGATAACGACGAAGTCACCAACGAGGAACTCGTAGGAGTGCCTGCTGGATACACTCGGAAAACTCTTGGAGAGGATCATCCTAAACAGGGTGATCAAATGCACGGAGACTGAGCACGGATTTTCGGAGAAGCAATTCGGACAGTGGTCGAGAAAACCGAGAAGGCGTCGAAACAGGAGCGGAGAGGAGATCGCATTCAACAGCGCCAGCTGAGAGGCCATCGCCGAAGTGCTGCATATAAAGAGGACTACCTGTACAGGATTCTAAGAAGTTACTTCCAGAGCTGATTCCATTCTGATCTACGAGACAAACATGGAACAGAGATCGATTAGGAGATTACGGTGGGAATTTCACAAGGCTCCATTCTTGGTCCAACGCTCTGGAACAGGGTGTACAACGGTGTGCTATCGCTGAAGCATCCCAAACGAGTTGAGATCGTTTGCATTGTGGACAACGTCGTCTTACGGTAACAGGCAAGACGCTGAAAGAGATGGAAATGTTGGCGACCGAGCCGATCGACATGATTGGAAACTGGACACATGGAGCGAAGCTGCAGATAGCCCACAACAAAAGCAAAGTGTTATTGGCCAGTAACTTGAAAGCGGTGCAGCGGACAGAAATCACCTTTGGGGAGCACGTCATAGCCTCAAAACGCGTGTTGAAATACCTGGAAGTGATGATCGACGCCCGCCTGACTTCAATAGCCCCGTCGAATACGCCTGCGACGCCATCAACGCGGTAACCAGAACTATGCCGAACTACCTGGGGACCAAGCAGTAGCAAGAGACGGCTCCTGACTAGTGTATCTACGTTGATCCTGAGATATGGAGGTCCAGCCTGGGTTGCATCGCTGGAAACCAAGCAGAATTTAAGGAAGCTGAACAGTACGGTACGGTTCAACAAACCGTACGCAAACAGTACGAGACGTTTGGTTTACCCTATGATGTAAGAATAGTAAAAATTTACCAGTCAATCCTTTAACAATGGACAAATAATCTTGTTTTTTAAATCATTTTGAAGGTTAAAATATTGAAGAAAAATTTCCGATTTTGTCAGCATCCCGTTTTTGTCAGCCTAAAATATCAACATGATATAGAACCTACTACCAGTTAATTTGTTTGAACTATTAGAAATTTAAGGCTAAAGTACACGATGCCAAATATAAATTCATTTCCATTACATTTGTACATTAGTTATGATGCAATGCTTAAGAAAAAAAAACTTAAAAGTTCATAGAACTTCGAAAAAATATACGGAACAAAGCAAATTTTCTGACTAACAGTTTTGCCTATGCATACAGTGGTGGACTTTAAATTAACACAATATGCCAATTTTCATACAAACTAGCCAACTTTGGCATGTTGCAACTATGTTTTGTTATGTTCAATTGGGCTGAAATTTTGACACAGAACTACAAATATGTTGAATTTTCCGTCTTAAGTAATATTTTACAAAGTTATCATTTTGAATTTTGATATCAAATTTAACCTTTTATATTTCTTTTTGATCTAGAAATAAGACAACAAAGCCAAATTTATGGCGATCAGAATAAATCATAAACTATTTTCGATGGAAAACTTATTTAGCGTCAACGATGGCTTCGGCACTCATTATTAATTTCACTGCATTTTCTCACCAAAACATTCCTTATTCTTTCAGATTCAATCTGCTAACATTTTACGACTGAGCAAACCCGTTATGCCTGGTTTTTCTTCAAATGAAACGCATGGGTTCGATTCCCGGTCCAGTCCAGGAATTTTTCGGGTTGGAAAATTTCTCGACTTCCCACACAATTATACTAATGCAAAAATGATACAGATATCGAAAGCTCTCAATTAATAATTGTAGAAGTGCATCTACAACACTAAGTTGAGGGCACTCAATAAGCTTGAAATGCAAAGAAGAAGGAAGAGAAAATACGTTACAGAACGCACGCATTAAGACCAGCACTTTGAAAGGTATGAACTAAATAAAAAGTTACATTTCGTTACTTGTTACGGACTAACCAGAAATCAATGTAATAAAAAGTCTAAATGTATACTATGTCCTACTTTTATATAGGAATAATTATGTGCAAAATCTATTTAAGTGAAAATACTTGAAAAGCTTTGAGTGGGTTGGTTTATTTCCTTTAAATTCCGTTATAATTGCTTACCTTTTGACAGATACGCGTATTTCGTAAATAACTTATAATTCTGCGTTTTATTTATTTTTATTTTTTGAAGCTGCCTTTTGTTTTGGGACAAATAAACAATTGTAATTATACCACATGATTTAAATATGATAAGGGATGGTCCATTAATTATGTCACGCAAATTTGGCCCATTTTCAACCCCCCCTCCCCCTTTGTCACATTTTTGTATGGATATTAATTTTTTTTTTGTATGGCTCGTCACAGTTTCCAAACCCCCCCTCCCCCCTATAAGTGTGACATAATTAATGGACGATCCCTAAACACAATTTGGGTGTAGTAAGCTTTTAAGAAAACTGTTGATTTTTCCGAACCCACTTGCCCAAATTTCAAATCAAAATTTAACAAAATCACTATGTTTTTGAAAACTGTAAAAACTTGCATTCTTATTGAAATCAATTACGCTTATACTTTTAACTATTCAGTTGGTCTGTAATGCCGATAAATTTATACGGATATCAATCCCACTACGAATTGTTTTTCCCGTGATGCT